CATGGGAGAGACACCAGCAGTGGGAATATGGGGGCTGCCCCATGGCCATCACCTTGCGTGGTCTCTCCGGTGCCCCACTCGTGCATGCAGGGATGATGAACACCCGTGATTCAGGGTGTTTAGGGAAGGTGGGTGGTGTACGACATGCAAATGTATGTTTTTACTCTAGTCTTGCTACCTGTAGCCTCTTTTCTGAGCTTTTAGGCTGTTCCTGTCCTGCCAACAAGTCTTCAGGGGTATATTTGTGCTGGATTTTCCTCCAGCCTACCTTGAGCTCCCTTTGCTCAGCAAACAGCCATGCAAACCTGATTGCAAGGAACTGATGCAGTGGGAGGAACAGCTGGTCTGATGCTGGGACCAACATGTTTTTGGGGAAGAAGTGAGGACTGAGCAAGACCAGCCATGCAGGCTCACAGCACTGACTTGCAGGCAGCAGGTTGGGGAGCAATCAGCCACAGATCTGTATGGAATCCCCAGTCAAAACAAGTCAAGTGGGTACTAAAGCAATAAATTTGCTCACATGGGCTGGAAGGGGTCAACCAGTGGAGGGTCTAGGGCAGCATCAAGCCAAAGAGACCCCCAGTGGAGACCGTGCACGTGAGGTGTGTAGGAGTTCTTATCAATGTGAGTAGAAAGTGACTGGTGTCCAGAGGCTGATCTGGCAAACTGTGCTGGAATGAGCACAGCTGAGTTGAAGGAGGAAGGAGAGACACTCAGCTCTCCATTAAACATTAATGCTCAGCCCTGACTTGCGTTTGGTGAGACAGTAAAAGCCTTGGGATTGCTGGGGATCGATCCCAGCCATGTTGCAAAATGCCAGTGTTGAGCCTTGGAGATGGAGTGAGGAGTAAGCTGGAGCCTGGGACTGCCCTGGCGCAGTCCCCTGGCAGAAATCAGAAAAATAAATATAAAAATATTAAGTCTCAAATGAAAAAAAAAAATTACATGCCTCGGCTGGGTGGGAGAGGCCACCGCTGCCAGACAAAACCCATCAGGGCAGCAGCCCAGCACCATCCTTTTCCCACGCCTCTCTCACCCTCTGAGTGACAGGAGCCTTCAGGTCAGAGCAAGGACATTTACTCATCCACAAATATTCTCTTCCCTGCTTCCATGGCTGGCTTAAAACTCGAGCATAGGGGCATGAACAAGCTCTTAAACTCCCCTGAGTGTTTGCTCAGCACCCATGAATCCAAGCCCCTGAGAGAACCCCTGCCCCATGGAAGAGGTGGAAGAGGAGCTCCAGGGAGGTAATGGTGTTAGCACAGTAAATTGGGATAGAGTTAATAAAAGTATTGAGCCCTCTGAAACAACTAACTTGTGCACAGGACCCCTGCAAGGACATGCTCACTGCAAGAATACACATTGGTTCATGAGAAATTAAATTATATGCTGCCATAGCTGGGCCTCTTTCATATTGGGAATGGGACAAGGCGGGGTTTTGGCTGAAGCATCAGCTCCAGAAAGGGTTAATGGCATACAAGATTTGTTTAGTGGGATTTGGTATTTTTTTAACTCCAGCAAACAAAGCATATGAGAAAATCCAGTTCACAGCTGAGCCCTGGCTGCCTGCCCACTAGGGCAGGGAAAATGCAGATGGTTTGAAATACCCACGCGCCTGCGTTTCTCCCACAGCCTGTGGCTCAGGGTCCCCGGCAGGTCTCCCCCCATCATATTTGAGTCAGCCGAGGCGGCAGCAGTGCAAATTGCAGCGTAAAAGCAGCACTGAGCCAGGAGCAAATCTACTTTCCTTGAGCGCTGCCTGCTTCCTTGGACCCACAGAGGAACTGGGATCCTGTGAGGCTCCACTTGTTCAAAAACAGTAATTAGCTCTCAAAGTAAATAGGTGTTAAACAGAAACAAAAAGCTTTGCCGCAGTCTGGGTAAACACCTTAGAGTCAATTTAATTTCCCCTCTCCTGGCAGATGTAATCGCAATGCTATGCAATTATTTTCAGGTCTGGGTGGGGAATGAAGCCACCGTGGCGGCTTTGCAGAGCGGCTGCTCCTCGGCGGCGCCGGGGCAGCCGGCAGTACCCGCCACTTCGCTGACATTTAGGTCCCCGAGGCTGAAACGAGCTTCCTTTCAACAAACCAGATGTGTAATGCAGCTGGCGATCAGCTAAACCAGCAGCTAACCGTAGCATGACGTTAAACCGCCCTAAACTCCATCCTATTTCTTAATCCTTAGAGTCCCCCAGTCTAGACAGGACATGAAGGACTAATGTGAAAACCAAGTGACACAAAATTTACACTCTTCCATTGAGCTGCAAACAGAAGGAAGCATCAAAGGGTATAAATTTGTTTGGCCTTTTCATTTTTTTTTACCTTTTGGGAGCACAGGCATCACCCAAGCGTGGTCCAGCGCTGTTGCAGAGGGTTTGCAGCCAGTCTGCATCACCTCTTGCAGCTGCCTTTAGCTTGTCCATTATCTCACTATATCATGCTAAAAAGCAACCAAAAATCTGTCTTTTCCCTACCATCAGGAGGAGCTGGTGAAATAGGTTTTCACCCAAACTGCCCCAAAAGCTAATGAGTTTTTCCTTCATCATCAGTGGGTTAAAAGCAAACACATGACTGGTGGCTGGGGCTCAGCTGATGCGGGGTGTCCACTCAAGCAGGAGGTAATTTGCATGTGATGGCACCTGTAGCAAACACCTTTGCTGGTGATGGAGCATTTCCCCAGCCGGGACGCAAATATAACTCAGCTGGGAACAGCCTGGCTCTGGGGCCAGGCCCAGCAAGGCTTTCGGGTCAGTCACGCAGCCAGGAACGAGTACAACCAGAAAAATGTGCACAGCAGCTTCTCCAGCAGTTCCTGATCTCGTTCCACCACGCTGCCTGTCTGCTGGGAGAGGGAGGTTTAGTTAATTAATTGCTACAATTAGCATGGAGCTATTCCTGCCCAGGATGGTTACCTTTTCCTCCCCTTTTTGGTTCATCCAATTACTGACTTATTCATTCTCCAAGGCAGAGGCCACAAGAAGGCACAGAGAAGCTTGAGGATGAGGGGGTGAAGGTGTAAGAAAGAAATGCCAGATGTCCCAAGCTCTATTTCTACCCAGGAACTGTTTTAATTTCATGCAAACTCTTCATCCTCTCCCATCCATCAACTCATGGCTTCAAGGAGGTGAAGGGGTAGCACGGCAGTTATAAATATTGCTATGACTGTTTTGTTTCTCCCTCAAGTTGACCCATCATGAAGGTGATGGGCTTCTGTATGCCAAGATGGACAAGACTCCCAGTACCCATCATGCTGCAACGATCCCTCAACCTCTCCACCCAGCCTTGGGCTGTGGGTCCTTCAAACAAACTACTTTGGGAAATCGATTATTTATTTGCCATTACTTAGCAGGAACAGTGGAGGAAAGGTGAGTGTGGGGTCACTGCTTCGGTGAGCACCAAAGCGAAGCACCAGCCCTGAATAATTCATGCTCTCTTTTCTGCAGCATCTGGACACATCTGCTGCATTCGCTGGTGCAGGCTTTTTCTCGGCTGACTCAGAGAATCACGTTTTGGCAGCTGGGTACTGTTTCAAGTGGGTACTTTCCCTACAGCATTAGCGAGCTGTGATTTTGTTACAAATACAGACTTTTGTTCCTCTTTTGCTGATGTCACTCCATGATCCTGCAGGGAACAGCGTTCAGATCTCTGCAGCCTGACAAACCCTATGTGCCCTTTGGGACAGATGTACTTGCAAGCGGGAGATTGTTTTTCCTTTTGCTGCCCAGATTTATATTTCACTGAATCCCAGTATCGATCCCGCTGCCGCTGGGCTGAGAGCTCATTTTACTAAACGGGGAGAAAAAACAGTTCCCCCAGCTGAACGCACGCAAAATGGAAAATCCTGCAACAAAACAGCTCTTAAAAAAGGGGCCTGAACGATTTCGCCGAACCTCGAGGACCGCGCTGCTCACATTGGAATGGGATGTAATTTATTTAGCCTGACCTTTCCCTGAAAAACAGAGATGGTGGCGTTATCAAGGATCCTTTCTACCACTTGTACACCCATTGCCAAGGTGACGTCCTGTTTCATGCGTCAGTCGGCGAAGACTGCATCCACGCTGCTGTGATGCTTTGTTTGCTGTCCTGCCTGACAAGCTCTTGGCAGGGTTTCAGCTCCCGCGGACGGCAGCTGCTCCACGAGGGAGCAAAACAGATTCAAGCTGGACGTTATTATGGGGAGTTTCACATAGGCAGAGGATGGGACTGGAGTCCCTTGGATGAGACTGGACCATGGATGAGATAAAGCAAAGATTCCCAGAGGTGCTACCAGGCGTAATGCAGGCACTGCACCCCGTGCTCCCCCCCCATCCCATCTCACTTGGGATTTAGGTGAAGCGGAGGCAGCTCACCGGCGCTCACAGCAGAGACTTGCCAAAGCGCAATCGGGTTTGGATGGTGGAGCACGACTGGTGGAACAGGTCCCACCGCTGCACAAAACCACCTGGTGATTTCCTCTCCCCTCCCAGCATTTTCCCAGTGGGTCTCAGGAGGAGACAGGGATGCAGGTGGGGGGGATGTGTCTGTCCTTCACATGAGAGCCTGTCAGCAGTGGGGACAACCGCAGCAGGGAGGGACATGGTCCCAGTAAAGCTTCTCCCCCACTCCACCGAGGGATTGAAACTTCTGAAAGAGGGGAATTTTCACTGCTGGTTCCCATGACTCTCAAAGGGACTTCAGTGACAGATGAGGACAAAGGCTGCAGCTAAAAAGTCCCCAAACCCCACCAACTTCTTGTAAGACACTCAAAGGTCTACAGTTACAGGGTGGGGAACTTAATTAGGTGGCTCACAGGCACAAAGCCTGTTCTCCTTCAGATGTCAAAGGTAAGAAAACCTCATGGAGGCTTCCCATGTGTCCATCCATTTCCCACTCCAGCTCTCCCAGCCTTGTGGTGGGCTGCACCCCCCTCCCACAGGTCTGAACTGAAAGAGCAGCTGGGCCCCATTGGGAGGACAGGACAGGAGATGTTCTTGGCCACAGACACGGCTCTCATGGTACCTGTGTTTTCCTCGGACTGATTGAAGCCACAGATCTGACAGATGCTGCGAACCCATTTGTTCATATCGTCCTCGGTCTCAGCCACCAGGTAGAAGGTCCTGTCACTGGTCTTGATGTCAAAGATGTAGCTGTCTTGCAGCTCCTTCTTGTTGAATGTCAGGCCTGCATCCACTTGCTCACAGAAATTGAGGTTGATTACACGCAAAGGTTTCTTGGAGTGGTCATTTTTGTAGTATTCCAGGACATCGGGGTCGCCACTCATCCGACCGCTGCGCAGGACAAACCAGCGTTTCTTCCATGCCTGAAACCAAGAAGAGAGGAAGCATGAACCCCATTGCCCAAGTTGTGAGGGCCAAGAAACCACTGCCACGCACAGAGTGACACAAAAGGACCTGATATGTCTCCACCCTGGGATGCTCTGGGATGCTGCTCAGGACATCCCTGTGAGAGGTGCACACTCAGCTCCCTTCATCAGTTCAATACTCAAATCCCACTGGTTATACAGGAGAACTAAATACTGAAATATCATTGTAGTTAAGATGACCCCAAGAAGTGCTAGTCTTGAAGCTTAGAGCAACCTTGCTCCTACCCTACAGCCACACTCCCAAATATCCTTTGCTCCTTGATGTAAGACAATCTGCAGAGCAGCATTACTGGAAATCACAGTGTCAAAATGTCTTCCAGCAGCTCAGAAGAGCTCAGGCTCTTCGGACACAGTGCCCTGGGTATCCTGCCCTTCAGACAAACCCCCGAGAGCATCACAGCACATGTCTACAGATACCAACCATGCCAATCCCATCTCTGTTTAAATGACAGGATAGAAAGGCTAATAAAACCAATGGGGAACTGGTTTGTTTTTTTAAATATCAGGAATAACGCCAGGGAGGCCCATGGAGAATCCAAGCTTCATTTGTTTTTCAGCATCTTCTGCTCCTCAGTATGTAGGAAACTCCTTAGAAAAGGAAAAGGTTATCATCGATTCTTCCGAGCACTGCTGACGGCAGCCCCCAGCCAAACCACCCAGGGAAGGGACTCAGGGGGTTGTTACAGTGTTTGAAGAAAACTGGCAAATTAAATGTCAGCCATCAGCCCTGGCACTGGGAGCTGTGGCCCCTCTGCTTTCCCCACGCCAAAAGCAGTTGGGAGCCCGCAGGAGGGGGAAGAGCCATGATGATAATGTGCTGAATGCTACAGCTTATATCACACAGACAATCATGCAGGTGTAAATCCCCATCCCATGGGCTGGAGGGTTTTTTGAGGGGAGGTCTTTGTATTCTACATGAGCATACTGGCACCTGTGGGAGGGATGGATGGGGTACCCAGAGCTGCTCCCCATTGCAGAGTTATGCTGCCTTGTGGAGGGCTCAGCTCCCATGGCGTATGGAAGAGAAGGACTATGAGTGTAGTCCTTAAAACACCTGAGTTTGTTCAGTCTGCCTTTGAAGGCAGTGAAGGTTCAAGAGCTGCACAAGCAACATGGGCTGGATACAACATGGGTGATGTAGGTTATTACCAGCACTCCTGTCTTACCTGACACACACCTTGGTTTGCACCAAAGAATGCCATGGGAGGGGATGTGATCCCCACTGTCCTATCCTGGCTGTGGACGTTTGGAGTTTTTATGAGATTTACCTTCTTCATTATTTTTTTAAAATCACCGGTTTTTAGGGTTCATATGATTATGAGAGATTGGGTCATGAGGAAGAACATGATGTCCTTAAGAAGGAAGAACTAAGAGCCACAAACATCTTGAGTAACCCAAGAGAGGCAGCAAGGTGAGCAGTGTTTTGGGGCCTCCATGATGCTCCCCAGGAGGTGACCACAGCCCTGTGAGGCTTTCCATATCGGCAATGGGCACATGCTAGATCTCAGCCAGCCAAATGCACCAGGATCCCACAATTTTTGACAATTTGGTGGCTGAAATAAGGGTAAGAATCTCCTGCGATATTTTCTCTGAACAGTCTTCTTTGCACTGTACTTCTCAAAGGCTTAAAAATAGCTTTTGCTAGTGTCTTTGAGATTTGTAACCAAATTAGCTTTGCACTAATTCTCAAACTGTCTCCTGGTGCCAGGAAAGCAACTTCAATGCAATCTTCCAAATGCAGTGGAGCAGTAAATTGCTTAGCAAGAGAACGTGCAAGGCTGGCAGATTTTGGTTTCATCCAGGAGACATTCACCCACTTTTCATCAAAACGTCTGCTGTTAGATGACAAAAAATGCATGTGGTGGAGCTGCATCCATCAGGGAGGAAAAAAAAAAAATCACCAGGCAGCAGTAGTAATTTGCTAGTCCTTCTCCTCAAAATGGATCACCCAAATCACTGGGAAAGAAACTCATGAACATTTTTTCTAGCTCTAGATGGATAATGTCCCATTAGCTTCTTCCTATTAACATTGAGCCATTTCTTTGCAGCCACTTGGCAGGACAGAGACACGGGCACACATCAGTGTGGGGGATTGAAAGAAGATCAAGTTGTGCAACCACATGAACCATCACCTGAATGAAGACACATCCAACACCAGTTCTGGTTACTTGGCTTGTTGCTTTCCAACTGTTTGGAGTCAAGCCTTGCAACATCCCTTCATGGTTAGGAAGTTGTATTGAAAAAAACACAAAGTACAGAAACTAGACTCCAGAATTTAGATCTTTCACGGAAAAAAAATAGGAGGAAATGCTGCAAGCAAGGCCAACAATGCTACCACAGATTCCCTTTCTATCACCAGTGTTGAGAGCCACAACTTCTCTAGTTCTCTTTGCTCTGTCTGGTAGCAATGGAAAGCCCCACACAGTCAATGTTTGGCAAACAGTATAACATACGCAGTCTGGTGGCATTGGGTAAGTCCTAACATAAGCTGCAAAAGAACTGCCTGACAGGATAAAATTTCTTGGGAAGCTTCGGGAGCTCAAGTATCACTGGAGAGTGGGACCCTTGGACAGGGCAACAGCCCCACCAGCCTGGGATGTCCACCCTGTTCACCTCTGTCTGGTGTCCTCCTGATGATAGTCACTGGTGTTCTTCTAAAACTGCTTTTGAGCCAGAAAAACAGCTCATGGCAGCAGCCTCTGGACTTGCCTGTCCTGGACAAGCAGCTGCAGGCAGCACAGATGGATGCATCTCCCACCACACATCCCCACAGCAGGACCAGCCATTCCTGCCTCTTAAGATCAGCTTCTGAGCCAGAGGAATAAGCATTGACCATTAGAAAAGAATGGAAGGAAATAAGAAAGAAATAGCCAGGAACCTTCTTTTTTGCGGAGATTTTCCCCATTTCTTTGAATTTTTGAGCACTGAGCTCAGCAAGTGTATTTTTGTTCTTCTCCAGGGATTTGCTGTCTCCACTAGGAAGAGGGCTCAGCTTGTGTTTGCCAGTCTGGGGCTGCTCTTAGAGCATCTCATGGCACTAACAGAGCTTGCTTCAACATATAGCAGTGTGTGGCAAAGGATATGCAGCCTGCAGCACGTGGCCCATAGTCCTGGGACACCTCTTTCCCCACTCAAAGAGATCAATATCATCCAAATCTTCTATGTTTAGGCTTCCATTAAATATCACCTTTCCGAAAGAGGGTGATTTTAAGGGTCTACCAACCAAAAGCTGCAACAGCAGTAGGATGCGTAGAATCCATATGTGCATGGCAATAGCAGCCCATGCCAAACCAGAGGAGGATGCAATTCCACACGAACCGACATGCTCTGTTTCCAAGACCGTCTTCTCCCACCATGGGGCTGTGATGGTCAACACGCATCTCTTCCTCCACCAGAGTTTTCCTTCTCTCTTTATTTCCATTTCTTCCTGGCTCCTTTGAAGCCCCTGTTGCTGTCAGCCCGCTCCTGCCAAAACACCGTGCCTCACCAACATGTGGTGCGAGCCAAGGGCTGTGTTTGTTTAACAGCATTACAACGTAGACAGGCCAACAGCTCAACAGCCATAAAATGGTGCCTTTGCGGCACAAATTTCCAGCTGTGTGGTCCTTTGCCTGCATGAGGTTTCTTCATAGTTAAATTACAGCTGCTAAAGGCCCTTAATATAATTGAGAAATATTTTGATGCTTGGCAAGTACTTCTTTTAAAGACTTGTTTGTTAAAAAAAATGCCCATCATGCTGCCAGTACAATGTAAATCCTCCCTGGGTGCTGAGAACCATGACTGCTGCTTGATTGCTTGCTACCTCAGCAGTGCTGTGGCAAGTTAAAATTTCCAAGGCTAACCCCTTTCCAGCTGGATGTTACCTGGAACTGTTTTTTTTATGGGTTGGAGAAATGGGTTGGCTGAGATGAGGTGGTAGTGCTGGGTCCATTGGCTGAGTGCACTGAGCAGGGATGCTCTGGGGGGGCTCAGGCAGTGGTTGGGACCCTTCCCGTCCCCTCTGCTAGGTGAGGAACCAGGAGAGCCCAACCAGAGAGGTGGCTGCTCTTGAGCAACCAAGATAACACCATGGGAGATCTTCTGACCACACTGTGAGGTCACTCATGTCCCCTGTGGCTGTCCTGATGGCACAATGCTGTGACAGAGCTGGTGGCATCAGTGCAGATGGCTCAGACTGTCCCTTGTCAGAGAATGTGGGGACTCCAGTGCATAATAACCCAAGCGTAATTAAGGACAGGTCAGACAGAAGCTTTATTAACTATGATCATAGTGAGAGGCCATTCAAACAGCATCTCCCCCTCTGCTCCCCTGTTCTCTGCTGAGTGATTGCAAAGGCCCAGAATTTCACAATAAAAAGTAAAAATGTGAGGAAAATAATAATTTCAACGTTAGCAAAGTGAGGTATCCATCCCTGCGGAGCTTGCTAACTGCCACAATCCTAAGAATAAATCAAACAGTAAATATAGTGACAATATGGAGAGATGGGTCTTGGTGGGACCTACGGGAGTGGCCCACCCAGTATCATCTTAGCTCAGAAGTGAGGAGTTGCAAACAGAGTCTGTTAGTTTTTAATTGAAAGGAACGCTCGTTCAACTAGGATAAGCTTCTGAGTGAGACCTCTCAAATATTAATTATTTTACCAGTACAGCATTATGGCATATACAAGGAGAGTGGAGGAGAGGAGAGGAGAGGAGAGGAGAGGAGAGGAGAGGAGAGGAGAGGAGAGGAGAGGAGAGGAGAGGAGAGGAGAGGAGAGGAGAGGAGAGGAGAGGAGAGGAGAGGAGAGGAGAGGAGAGGAGAGGAGAGGAGAGGAGAGGAGAGGAGAGGAGAGGAGAGGAGAGGAGAGGAGGAGGAGGAGAGGAGGAGGAGAGGAGGAGGAGGAGAGGAGGAGAGGAGAGAGGAGAGGAGGAGGAGAGGAGGAGAGGAGAGAGGAGAGG